CCCCAAAACCCCAAAACCCCTCATATTGAATAATGAGTGATAATTCAGCATTATTGATAATTAAAAGTATTATATTTTTGTTGTAAACTTATTAGATAATAGATGAAGGTATAGAGTTAACTACTTTTATTTTTCAATTAATTTACTTAATGATAAGGCATTTACTTGCTAGACCTACTTCCGTATAATGCTTCGATAGTATCTGTCGGATATTAGTAAAGCCTATTATTATTTGAAGAAACACTGTCCAGAAGTCAGCCAGTTTATTTATAAGATCATTTATTTAGATATGGAAGATACCTCTCTAAAAGAGAGGGACTGTTATTATTCGATGTGCGAGAAGTCAACACCTTTTCCTTTAGCTTTTCTAATCTTTTCAGCTTGAGCATGGTTTCGCTAGGATTGTGAAATTCTTTCATTAGTCTAGTTCTATTCTTTATTTACATTATTAGCTTATCTTTCTCTAATTTATCCTGTGAAAGATTAGGAAGTTAATTAGGTTCTTAGCTTTCATTAACTTCATTCGATCCCATATTGTTTGAAAATGTCATTCTTGTTACTGAAGTGGATGGAGTGAATATACCACTCTGGCCTTGGGTAAGGTTTAATTCATTTCTTTAACTCTTTTCTCTTCGGGAGCTATGCTTTGTTAAATATTCATTCCCTACACTCAAATTACTCCATCTAGATATTGGGACATGTCCAGTCATTAACTTACTGTTGTTATTGCTATCACAAAGAGTAAGCCTAAATTGACTGTTTTAGCATGTGCTTGGGGTTACAGCACTAAAATTATTCCTAAATTCCTATAAATCAAACTTCAGGTTTTCTAAGTCTGTATCCTCAACATTTGATGCTATGAAAAATTTCGAGATTCTATTGTATTTCATATTTATTATCATACTCATAAGAGAAGAAAGTTATTTGAGTAGATTATCTAGCTCAAAGCATTCCTTAAGGCCTTTATCATTTATTATATCTTAAATTTTGCTCATCAAATAACGAGTATTCTTATCTAAGTTTTTTACAATGAAACTAGAGGAATTATCTAATATTTGGCCGTCAAATTTTTCGATTTAACTTGAATCCTATGAGTATGGAAACTATTTAGAAGGTTTAGAATACCTACCTTTGAACAACTAGGTCATATTTGGTATGAATTATTCCTTATCAAAACTTTTCCTTGGATTTAAGAGAGAGTATAGTTTTTTATGCTAACCTTTTGCGTATCTTGGAGTTTAAGCTATTTTTACCAATTCTGTTCTATTTAAATGAATAATTGACAGTCTTCGAGGAGTCTAGTTATATGAAGCATTTTTCAAGAATCGACTTTTATTCTTAGCTGACTTACGCAAATTTATACTTTGTGTCTCATGATTACTATCTTATTCTAGTATTTAATGTTCAAACATTGAGAATTCCTTATTTATTATATTAATATCTTGATTCACAGTCTAAGATTTTTCACTTAACTTACTTGAGATATTCTAACTTGATTGCATTTCTATTCCTAATAATTTAGACTATCTCCTTGAAAACTGTAATTAATTGCTATTTTTATCATAGACGCTTATGCCTTGCTAATATTTGGATTCTTGATTAATTTACATCTCTACTGATACTTCTGGTTTACTCTATTGGCCCCCGAATATATGATTATTATTAAAATCTTCTACTATTCTATTCCTTGCTATACATTGCATTGCTCTTTTTTCATTTTTATAGCATTACTTAATATCAGCCAAATGTCTCTTTAACTCATCGATTCTCTTCTAATCCTTTGTCTTGGCTTTTGATAGTTCCAAAGTCTCTTTACTCTCCCCGTATACATAATGTTGCTTTATTATATATGAGGATAAGTTCGAAAAAAATGGCTTTTTTAATTGTTAAGCTGTATTTGCCTCCTTTTTCTTCTTTTATTCGATATCTTTTAATTTCTATTCCTACTACTTTTATTATTCTTTTTCCAATGCTAATTTTTTAATGGTCTCTTAAACACCCTCAAATTTGGGGGCTTGAACTGATGAAACATATGAGGTTATAATTCCCCATCCTTTTTTGCCAGAGTTCACAGCACTTTTCTCATCGAATAAGTCTTTGTGATTTTGCAAGCTTAAGCTGTACAAATCGTAAGTAATTTGATCTTTGTACCCAAAATCAGGAACATATGGTTTTTTCAAATCTGAAATTCCCTGCTCAATATCGATACTCTATTTTGCTTGAATTTATTTTTTTTCTTCGATTATTTGCTATTTAACTTCCGTTTCTATCTCTGTAAATCAACAAGAGGACGATGACTAGTTCTTTCTCGATGGTTATTTCATTTACCGGATTGATTTTGTAGATTATTTTTTCTTATTTCTACGCGGGGATTGAGAAAATTTTGAGACTTTAGGTTCCCCCATATTCGCTCTCATTTGCTAAATATTATTTATGCCGTTAGGTAATGCACCATTCATAATATAAAGTACGCTGCTCTTTGACATGCTATTGTTGTTCAGAGCTTATCTCATAGACTCCAGCTAATTACTAACTTAATTTTTAGGAGTTAATGAGTTTCCTAATATGGGGGAATTATTGTTTGACCGATTCTACTCTAGGTACAGATTTTTCATTGTTTTAGACTAATACTTAAACTTTCTCTAAATATCTTGAATTGACTGGGCTTCTGTCATTTTAAATAAAATGTAAAACTCATAACAAAATCTCATAATATGTTTAGTTTTTTACTTGACGGGGTTTTGGGGTTTTGGGGTTTTGGGG